GGAAGGAATGCTGACTCAGCATCCATACAATAATAAAGATTTGGAAAACAAGGCATGGATGCTGAGTCAGCATCCATACAATTATTTTAGCATTCCTCTAGCCCACTTCTCAGAACCGCCAGGCCACCCACCTGCAGATGTGATGCAGGCAGCTGTTTCAGTTCCTCATTTCTTGTTTTCCCACAGACATAAACGAGTGTGAGGACATCAGCGACAAGGTGCCCTTGTGTCAAAATGGGCAGTGCAGCAACACAGAGGGATCATACAAGTGCACCTGTTTGCCAGGATTTGTGGTGTCTGCCCAGCCGCACAAATGCATCCCAGCGATCCCGGAGTCTGGGCTTAGGAAGACAGGAAAGTGAGAGGGTGACTATTGGAGTGCTGGCTTCTGCTGCTCCCTCAAAGATCACCTTACACCCTTCTGCCCTATTCCACAAGTGCCTGGCACTGAATCTCCAACGGTACCACTGAAATGTCCAGACCCATTTCCTTACATACACACACAAATGCATACACACATAAGCAGACACACACACTTATATTCAACACAAAACATATTAATATCCCCTCATACACATTTAAGAGTAGAGAGAGAATTGTGCAGTGAATGTATTAACATGGGACTTAATATTCACCAGAAATCCATTTGCCTTAAAGGGATTTTGTAGACTGATCTTTATTATTCAGTAACCCCAGGCAATCTGATATGCAGATATATTTTCCACATTATTTTCACTTATTTTATTGTTGTGTTATTTATTTCATTTACATGACGGGTCTCTGCAAACTAAGGAAACAACCTATTTCAGAGAGAATACTTAATTTCTCTTGTTTTATTTGTCTCGCCAAATGATTCAGAGACAACATGAGATAATAAATGTCATACAAATTCAGCACTCATAAAATAGCCCAACTGACCAATAATATCTTGCTCAGTCACTGTAATTAACTTTGACCCTGGACTAAAGTGATGCCAAAGTTGACAAACATCACAAGTTCAAAGAAAGACCTTTTCCCACAGCCACCTTTCTATGCCTTAAGATGAACTAACTACAGTCTGAGGATGAAGAATGTCTGGACCAAGAACTGGGGAGTCAGCCAAACTTTCACACGAACAGCTTCAGTGTTTATGTGGACATGGAAGGACTGTAGATGTACAGTATATGATGAGCTACAGTACATAATGTTAAAAAAAGGTGCAAAAGGTAGAATGTGCTTTCCTCTGTTTGCTACCATTTTCACAAGCTTAATTCCAGCAATGAAGTAAGAAAACATGGACTCAGTTGCTGATACCAGTTTTTTTTCCCCCCTTTGAGCAGTATTAACTTGTAACTTGTTTTATATTTGTATACATAGCATCTGTTCTGTGACTTATAGAAGTTTGATACTAGGCTACCTTCTGGTCTAACTTATGAACCTACAAGGTAAGGTAGTTAAAATGATCCAAAAATAGCACTGCTTTAAGTGAAATATTGGTTTTATGTACCAGTGTCACACAGGAAAAAGGATTATTTTTTCTAATCATGCACTTGCAACGCAAATCAGGCCATTCCCATGTTTGCATCCGAATCCATGTAGAGACAAAGGCTTCACTGGAGAGGTTTGGTATATTTTGTACAGATCTAGTACTATGTGTTATTGTTGTTACACCTTTTCTTACTGCATTATAGCGCAACAAATATTTTATTTGACATAAAACATAAAACGCAAGAAAAATCTGGCATTAAAGCTTTGTAGATTTTTATGTCTGTAAAAATGTTTTTTTTTTCTTGTTATGTATAAGGAGAGTGGCTGACACTGTAGCAGAGGAACTGTGTGCATACCCTGCCCTGTGGAGCAGACCATGAACTATATTTTTTGAAGTGGCAGCACTGTTATAATTGGTCTTCGAGTTCATTACAAAGAAAAAATGCTTTCAAAATGCAACTTGGCTAAATATTAGTCATTATTTCTTTTAGTATTTGTTGGATCCTTTTTTCATGAACGTATCACAAACAGTATCAGCCTGCTTATGCAGTTTATCAATTCCAACTCACATTTTTTTTCTCTTTTATTTAGGTTTATTGCATTACTTGAATAACGGACTGAATTATTCAACAAATCTCAGCAGCACAGAGTCTAAATCTAGCTGTAGAGGACAACTAGAGTTGATGACTTGCGCCATTAACCTGCATTCATAACCTGTATACATACAGTTGTACAAATGTTTCCTTCTCTCTTCAGCTGTACTGTACTTTACTGTGCTGTGGAAAGCACTGCTTGAACTGGACCGGAGGTCTAACATTGAATAACTTGATGTTTAAACTTAATGTTTTGTTTTAAAGTTGTGGTCATTGCAAATATCATGCTCATTCGTTTTGTTTACCTCTTGACTGTAATCGCTATCAGTCATCAAAATAAAAACATAGAACATATCAGTCTCATTGATAACTTACTTTGAAAAATGACACATGACACACCTTGCATTCACCACAGGCATACTGTATTCATAATAAAAATTTCCTGCGATGAAATTCTGCTATTTTATTAAAGAAAGAAAGAAACAGGATGTCTGTCAGTTATACTATGTTGTATACTACCACTACTAATGTTAATAAAGACATTAGATATTATCCTTTCATTGAGCTGTTTAGTGTTTGAATGGGCTGGTGCAGATAAGTAAAGGTTTGTGATACCACAAATATAAATGTACTTCATTACAAGTAAAAGTTCCTTTCTTGACATTTTTAGTAAAAGTGCAGAAGTGTTATCACCAAAGGTACTTTAAACAATCAAAAGTAAAAGTTTTGTTCAGTAAGGCCCCTTTTAGAGTGTTATACAGTATTAGCAAACATTAATGTTACTGGATAATTGAAGCAATATTTTTGACAGAATGTAAACAGTATGCTTTCACATCTGCTCATAACAGAGCTAATTATCTAATTCATACTATGCACTATGGTTTATTCACTGACAATGCAATCAGCATCATAACTTTGCAGTACATTTTGAATGTAAAATCTTAATCTTAAGGTAACTACTGTCAAGTACAATAATTTCCTCCAAAATGCAGTGAAGTAGAAGCTTTAAGTCTTCATATTATACTTTCTTGTTTGGGTATTTAACTATGAATATGAACAGGAGAGCTTATATACAGTCAATCCTCAAGACAATAAATAAGTCGGAAATCCCACATTATCGATTTAAAAAAAAGAAAGCATTAAAATGGCTTATTGTAATAGACGTCCCCCTAGTGGCCAAATTGAGCTTCGCAATCACTGTTCTGCTTTTCCAGAGCTTTTTCCCAGTGGTCAACTGGAGCTATTCCAGAAGGATGCTGGGAAATTGAGTTTGCCCTGCAATACCGTAGCCACATAAATATTACCACAAACTACATATCCCAGAAACAACCTGGTTTTATACGTCTTTCGCTGGTTCAAGATTTACCTGTTGTGTTGTCCGTATGTTGCTAATGTAAATCTTTGGAAAATACGACGGTAATTTCCGGATAGACCATTATCACTTTTTAAAGTCTGATATTGTTTGCGATGCGGCCATTGGACGAGTGGGTATTTGCTAGAATGAGTTTGTTATATTTGTCTCAATAACAAGGCGACACTGTAACCATTGTCATGTGTGATAATTTGTTAAGTAGGGATGATGTGACATTCACTGTCACTATTGCCTGTTTTGACATACAGCTGATAAATGCTGCTCCAGTATTGCATCATGTTAATAGCCATGCTAAATGTAATAATTTGTTCCTGACAGTACAGGAACACATCACTCATTAACTAGCCATTTGTATATGATTTGGTAGGAGGACTAAAATATTGAACTTGGTTTGGCAGGGAGGCTTAGTCACTTCACTCCAGCCTAATATCCTAATGGCAAAGGAAGAATGTATTATACAGTGGAACAAAAGGGGGTACACTTCGGTGCTACGAAACAGGAAAACCCTCCCACCCACAGAGAAGATCCTCCAAACCCCATCCGCTCAAGTGACCATGGGCAGAAACTGTCAAACTGCTGGACACCTGTCAGAAGATGACATGCAGTCCTCAAATGGGGCATCTACTCTGGAAGGAAGTTTCAGTAATGAATCCCTGAGCAAAGTGCTGCTGGTGCTAGTAGTGGGGCTGTCTTTCTCTACACGCCTATACAAGATAACAGAGCCCCCTCATGTATGGTGAGCAAAACGTCCTGTGCATCCATGCACTTAGATTTTCTGCATGTTGGTGTGCCTTTTATTTTGCCTTTAACATATCTCCTTTTGGTGTTTCAGCTGGGATGAGACACACTTTGGGAAGATGGGAAGTTACTACATCAACAGGACCTTCTTCTTTGATGTCCATCCTCCTCTTGGAAAAGTGAGATGGCACATTATTTCTTCTATATACAGTATGTTGAAGTGTCTTCAGAGAACTGTACTAATATGATGACTGTTGATCTTTACCCTTTTGCAGATGCTGATAGGTCTTGCTGGTTACATGACCGGCTATGATGGCACTTTTCCTTTCATAAAGCCAGGAGATAAATATGAACACCACAACTACTGGGGAATGAGAGGGGTATGTTGCTTTCCACACTAGAAAATCTGCCCTTTTCTAATTGATTAACGGTGCAATTTGTATACATATGCATATGGTCTTGTCACAGATGTAGAAGCATAGGATATGTCCAGGCTGCTGATATGTCTGTCTTGCTTCTTGTTCTCCAGTTCTGTGCTGTGCTGGGCTCCTTTCTCCCAGTCTTTGCCTACCTCGTTGTGCTGGAGTTGTCTCAGTCTCACACTGGTGCTCTCATCACTGCCATCCTGCTCATATTTGGTGGGTGATCATTTAATGCCTTTGAATGTTCTTGTTTGCCTTGAAGGAGTAAAAGTACCAGTATGTACTGTAGCTTTAAATGATGCATTTCACCCTCTTTACAGACACTGGCTGCATCACTGTATCCCAGTACATCCTGTTGGACCCTATACTCATGTTTTTCATCATGGCAGCAGTACTGAGCATGGTCAAGTTCAACCAGCAGAGACACAGGTATAGTAAAACACCTCTAGAACCTTTATTTGTGTTATTCTGTCTTGCCCCATCAAGTTTAGTGCTGAAACTATTAGTGGATTATTTATTTGAATGGTCAGCAATAAGTTAATGGATGGCTATTTTGATAATCAGTTAACAACTGCAGTTATCATTAATCCATCAAGTATTTTTTCAGGTAAAATGCAACCCATTACTTGCTTATCTCCAATTTCTAATCCATGCAAGTCCCACAGACCACAGCACCAGAGACAGTGGCTAATCTAGGCTAATCTACAGCCTACCCTTTTTGTCCTCAGCAAAGACATTAACAGCACTGCTCAAATCTAAATTCCTTGCTTGGGCTCTCTAAACATTATGCTTCTAACTGTTTGCTGAAGAACACTCACTTCTTGATGAAAAGTTGGTTGAAGTGTTAAATAACTGGCATCATGGATGCCCATGCAAATTAACACAAGTGACAGGGAGCAAGGTCATTGGATAAATAAATTATGTAGGAACATTTAATAAGGACAACAACAAAAAGCCACATAAAAACAGGCTTTTACTCAAAACCATGAGCATTATGCACATGATCAGAAGGTGGTATATGTAGCTATCCCACTGAAGTGTTTGGCTATCAATGAAGAGTCAGCTTGTAAACTGTGTGATATAATTTACAGTCATGGAGGGCCTCCTGCAATAGGCATTGGGCCCTGGGGCACCGCACTGTTGACAGTTACACCACTGATGTGAGTGTTCACTGTGGGTTGTTTTCAGGCCTTTTACTTCTCCCTGGTGCCTGTGGCTGGTATTGACTGGTGTAAACCTTGCTGGGGCTTTGGGGGTGAAGTTTGTGGGTCTGTTTGTCATCATGCTGGTGGGACTGAACACAGTCTGGGACCTCTGGAGGCTTCTTGGAGACCTGAGCCTCTCACTGGTAAAAAGAATTGGTTACCTTCGCCAAGGAGGTTATGTTCATGGTTCTCTCTGTGTGTGTGTGTGTGTGT